TTGTGCATTCTCTTTCTTAGATAAATGGTTGGTTGTAGTTCAGCCTTTGTCAAGCCTATGGTTCTTTATAGCGGTATCTTCAGAGCACTTCCTTTGGGGAATGTTCCTGAGGTGGAAGAAGCTCTGGGTGTCAGTGCTTGCCTGTGTCAGCTGCTTGAGGATGTGAATGTTCTGTTCTAGTAGTAGAAATCAGAAATAAAACTCCAAAGTCTCATGAGATTCACTGTGACCACTGGATGAAGAGTAGACAGGGCCACCACGCCTGCTTCTCCAATGCTGTGTAGAAGCGATCTGTATCCTTGGTTACTGACTGGAGACCTGTGTTTTTAAAACTCTTGTAGCCTTTATAAAATCAGTGCAGATACAGATGTAACAGGAATTTTGTGTCTTCTGTGTGTCATCAGCATTTGAAGTAGCAGAAGAAGAAAATTCCAACATAATTCAAGCAAATATTCACATGCAGTACATACTCTGTGTTCAGCAGCACCTTTAAGTGATCCCTCATAGCCGCTGCACTCTGCCATGTTACTAACAATCTCTTCTAAGTCCGCATCTCCATTGCTTTCTGACATGTGTATGTGATGTGATGGCAGGAGCAGGGTTTGGTTTTGATGCAATACTTGCTGCACCCAAGTCAGTCTCTTGGTGCTACTACTTCTGCTGCTGTATTTCAGAGTTATGTTTTATGTCCAGCTCCTTGATGATTTTCTTCAGTTGTTCAGGGGTAAAATGCAGCTTCTTCTGATGGTCTAGGCATACGTACTGCCAACTTACATATAATTCAGTGTTCCCCTTTGGGTCCTCTTCCATCCCTGGATCAGTAGCCTGCTGTAATCTGCTTTAGTCACCACTTCAAGCTAAAACCTTCTGCGGGATTCAAAATTAGATCAATCCATCAAAGAAACAAGGTTTAACACCTTGGCATGCTTTGGTCAGTCTTCTCAGATGACGACAATTCCTAGAAGTAATACACTTTTACAATCTGCTGAAATATTTAGAGTAAATGGCAAATGCTGGTTTATAGCCAAAGCTGTGAAGCTCTTGCACACTTGTGATTCTCTTGTTGAAAAACCCACACCACTGGAAGCCTTTCACTGGACAGCTTAGTGTTGGTATAAGGGAAACGTAGGAAACAGCAGAAGATCTTTCACATACATATGCTAGCTTATCTTCATTTTTGGATCAGCTACACAGACACTTTGTTAGCGTTCTCAGAATCACATGCCATGCACCTCCTCTGATTTACTCTAGCCTTCCTGCTTCTTTCACCATCTGTGTGGGTCACCTCATTCAGATTTGCTGAGCATGGGGGTGTTAATAAAGGCCACAGGCTTAGCTAGTGTGTGTTTAGGATATTCACTACAGTTTCATATTTTGCTTAATTCTACATTGTAATTTTACTAGAGATTGGATCCTTGTGTGTTACCAGTTTAACTGATTTCCATGTGGCACACTATCAGATGGTTCACAGGAGTGGAGGTAGATTTGATTTTCTTTACCCTTCTCACTTTTATTCTGACCCTTATCTTCTTCAGCTACCGAACCTACTACTGCTTTTTGTTTATAGCCAGTAAAAGGCATTTTGTTAATTTAAATTACCTTTCTAGCATGCAGCACGGTTTATTTCAGCCTTTGACTTCTACAACATATGTTCCTTCCCTACTAGTTTTTTTTCTCTTACTACTAGTTTGGCTCTCTGTTTTAATATGCATTTTCTGTCATATAGGTATGCTTGGAGCCATGGCCTGAAAGTTCCCTCACATTTGTGCAAAATGTTCCAGATAGTTTTATACCTTAGTCTTCAAGAAATTGCAGCCCTCCACCATTCTGAAGACCTCTGCCAGCTGACTTCTTTCTTTCCATAATGAAGCCAAATTCAAAAAATGCGTTAAATTTTCAAGTAAATGTTACTGGAGCCTCAAGCTTGCTGTTCGTAAAAAACCCAAAACTCTCTTTCTCTAGCTCACTTTTCTTTCGCCACCTATAAGAGTGGCATATATAACAAATACATATATATTTGTAGATATATATATATATATATATATACACAAAGTATATAACAAATGAAGAACTTCAACTGCTGGAAACTGGTCCTTCTTGCCTTGAAGGCTGCTAAAGTTATCGCAGTTATTCAAGCAGCCTTAACTGTTGACAGAAGTTTTTGTTTGTTTTATATAGCTACTGTATTTCATTTAGAAACTACTAAAAATATAATCATCTTAGGGACCATCTGCTTGAAATGACAGTGCATACTGGGGCTAAAATTTTAAACTTCTTTTCCTGCTTTGTTCATTTTCTCTCCTAAAATTGGTTACATGACAAATTCAGTATTCAGTGCTAAGGGTTTCTTTTCTGAATTAATTTTCTACTTATGTCCAATGTGTACACAACCATACTTGTCCAGTGATGCATACTTGTCCAACAAGTATTTGTGCATCATTTATTTGCTAACTTTTCTGTTGGGAGATCAGGGGAAAGGTAGGCAGAGCCTTGTTTTCATACATAAATACCATGTTGGCACTGCAGGTTCATCAGACCAATTAACTATGCCTGTAATAAGTGCACCTTTTCCTTGTGTCCCCTCATTGCCAGTTCTGGCCTGGATCCCAGAACAAAAGGAAGAAGAATCTGAGCTGCTTGTCGAGGTCCATGGTGTACTACTGCACATAACAGGCTTTTTGGTCAGTTGTTTTCTGTTCAAGTAATACACATATTATGAAGGAGGAAATTTCCTTTGGTGAGAAATTGATGATAGAAGTGCCCACATTTTGAAGTATAGTTGTTTGGTGTAAAACAACAGATTTCTAATGTTCCTCCTTGTGGTCTTGTCAGACAACCTGTTTTCTTCTGGTATTTTGTATCCTCTCCAAAATACCAACACCTGTGCTTCGGCATCTAGGATTGAAAATGAGAATAAATTCACTAAGTTTACTAAGGTTTAGGGGTTTCCATTGCTTATTTTTAATTTTTAAAAGTCTGTAAGATGTCTTTGGTTGGCTGAGAGCCATGTATATAGGAGGCAGATCCAATATGTTTGAAGAACCTGTTAGCAATCCTAACATGGCTAACAGTAAGAAAGCAAATATAAGAGGAAGTACAACATGTTAAATTGCATGTCAAGTTATGGTTTGTTTATGGATCTGTACTACCCATTCTTAAACAGAAGTAAGTGTTTAACCAAAGAACTACTTCCTTTTCACCTGGTAACAGTCACAGTAAGTTGGTAGCACAGAAAATGTGGTGCTTGCCATCTCTGGCTGCCGAATTTTGTAGTCTTCATTGTTCCTTTTACAATGTTGTCTGACTGCAAAACATCAGTTCTCTCTGAACATATGCTGCGTCTTTTGTAGAAACTTCTTAACAGCCTACATAATGTGAAGATACATTGGAATAGTCCATATGTGATTTATTACTATATTTTTATGGTTTCTTTGCATTAAACACTCAATGTGAAATTTAATATTCATGAGTTAACATCTGTTTTGTCAGAGGAGAAATAGGTAATGAAAGTCTGAGTGTATTTTATTTTATTATTTTTTTTTGCATCTCATATTCTGGATGTTCATAAAGATACAACTCTCAATCTGACAAACATCCCATATGAGAAGAGAACAGACAGTAATTCTGGTCTGTAGTAATTCATTATTATTGCAAAATGTTTCCGTGAAGGGTCTTGGAGAGCTGTTGTTCACTACTTAAAGTGTGAGATGCCTGAGTCTACTTGAAATAGACTGCAGAGCTCCGGTGAATTCCCCCAATGGCTCACAGTTGGCCTCAGTGCAGCAGAACCCCTATAATTTGGGAAGGAAACTAATGGTCAGGAATATCTTTTAAAAATATTATAGATGGACTGTGCAAGAGTTCTAAGTTTTTTTGGCAATGAACTTTTTGGTGATCATAGCAACTGCAACAGAGAACCTGCAAGCTTTTTTACAAGTCACTTCTTTCCCCTCTTTCCCTCTATTAACCTTGTAGGTGTAGCATTAGAGAGAAGACATTAAAAATATTTATATGGCACAAAAAATTAGCTCTTAGGGAAAAGGCATGTGAGAATTAAGTGTCTCTTGCAGAGTATCTGTGTGCATCTCTGGATCTTGGAACACAAAAGTCCAAAGCCAGTATCATGAATTGTTTTACCTTTAAACAGAGGGCAGAAATTCACCTGAAGTAACAGACTGATTTTAAGTTTCGTTCTGGAAGCTGTAGAATACCTTCAGGGACTTGTTCAACGCTCTTAGATTCAGTTGTTTCATTTGATGTTAATGTGTTTCGTGTTTTGTAGGATGAAAGAAAAGTTCAAAGACTAAGTTTTCATATTTGCCTACCTGCTTTAGATTGAATAGTAAGAACAAAGATTTAAAAGTAATCTGAATAAGTAATACATAAGTGTATAATTGTAAAATTGCCCAATCACAGAAAGGCTGAGGTTGGAAGACACCTCTGGATGCTGCTTGTTCCAACCCACTGCTCAAGCAGGGCCAGAACTGTAGAAGAGATTTAGACTGACCATGTACCATATCTGGAAAAAAGACACCAAAAGCCAGAATAAGTCATTGCTTTCTATATAAAGTAGCAATTTAAATCAAAGATTGCAATAAGTAAAAAGGACTTACTGACAAACTGGTATTTCATAGCAAACCATTTGTGCTTCTGATCCTAGCCTCCATATTTTAGTTTTAATAGAGAAATAATAATGGTATAAGCATGTATTTTCTCTCTTTTCTTGTATTAAGATTTCATAGAGCCATTTTTATTCAGGAAACTTTAGCAGTTAGAGATGTAATTCCGTTAAGTTATTTAGTTATATAACTTTTTTGCATAGAAATACAGTTTAAAATGAAAAACACCTTCATATTTGATTTAATGTTTGCTTTGAAAATAATGGGAAAAAAAAAACCAAGATTTTACTTAGACATGTGTGTCATCTTTCTTAACTATTACCACATTTATCAACTAACAGCAGAATTTTTGATGAGTCTTTCTTGCTTGTTTTCTCACAGAGAGTTTGGATGGCGAGATCCAGAGCTTCCAGAAGTTATACAGATGTTACAGCATCAATTTCCGTCAGTACAGTCCAATGCTGCAGCCTACTTACAACACCTCTGTTTTGGAGACAATAAAATAAAAGCAGAGGTAAGATTTATAAAGCCTTTTTTTCAGCAGTGATGCTGTCTGCCATTTATCATAGCCAATTATTTTTATGTACCTCAGAAAGAGTTACAAAAGAAATCATGTATATATGGCTGGACCTATGCCTTCACTTAAGTCATTGTTAACATTAGAAAAAGTAAAAAATGCATAAAATTTTGTCAAACGTTTTTTGTTTAGTTTTCAGTATTTTGATTGCATACCATTTAAACACTGTGTCAGTAATTGTTTAGTAAACAGTTTGTGGTATAGTCTTGATCTCACCGAAGCACACAGGCATTTCCTTAGGATTTTCAGAGAGGGATTTTTGGACACTAAATACAGGAGGTAAAAATTAAGCAAAAGGATTCTGAATCAAAGCCCACTTTAGTGTGTAATTGTGTGAATAGAGTGTCATTTCACTGGGTTTGCAGATTGAACTGTTATCTTGAAATTCAGTGCAGATTGTATCTCAAATGTAATTCAAGCAGCAGTATAGACTTTGTTCTGTACCTGTAGCTGATTGGTACTTTTTGCTTGCTTGTTCCCTGTGGTTAATGGGACCAGTTCAGCTTTTGGCACAAGTTGAAACAGAAGGCAGGCAGCTCTGAGGGATATGACAAACACACAGTAGTCAATTAAAATTGAATGAGTGAAGCTGTTACCAGCCCCAGCTGCCTCCCCTGGCCCTTTCAGAGACTGCTAAGCAGGGACATGTAGTGTGCACATAAATCTCTGCCTGTTCTGGCATCTTTTAGCCTGGCAAGTAAAGGTAAACTGAGATCAAGATCTGCTATTGCTTCTTTGTCAGAACTGTGCAGTAATACTGGCTTACCAGTGCTTCATTATCCTCACCTTTGGCACGTAAGCACTCTGTGGGTCTGTCTCGCTGTAGCAGCTTTCCCTTGTAGGCTTCTTCATGCTGAGGAAAGTCCCAAGTGAGTAGGTATGTGGTCTTCTGGCACTGGTAGAACTGCACTGGCTGTGTACATCACCTCAAGCATCTTAGAAATAATAATGAAAAAACAAATATATACATGAATGTTAAAATGAAGAATGTTTGTGCACTGGAAAAAAGAGCTCTGTTACAGGCACTGCTGAAAATTCTAATTGCACACTCTCCCCATACTCTTTTCTCATCCTTACTCACAAATTAGGTTTTCAGTTAAAAAATTGATTAACCTCTGAGAAAGGCAGTTAAATGATTAGAGCAATTTATTCATTGTACAATCTGTGCTGCCTCCTGTTAGCCATAGATTGAGAGCCCTTAGGTAGCTATCACATCTGAGGGAAGAAGGTGGTTTGACTGTTGTTGCTAACCATTTAGTGAAAAAGGCAGGCTGTTGATCTAACCCATCCCACTAGGACATCAGCCTTTGCAAGCTTCAGGCTTACAACCAGGAGAGCACTTAAACAGTTCCTGTGTTTGCCTATTGGAATCAGGAGCTACCCAGAGGGCTCAGTAGTGTGCTTAGGGTCTGCTTGAGCTCTCTACTGAATGAGAATTTCTTGAGGAACCTTTTGTGTGAGGAGTTAAAAATCCTGTTAAGGGCATATCACAGCAGATATCCCAGATTCTTACTAGCCTTATGCCCAGCCAGAGGTACTTGAGTAGTGTTGTTAAACCTAGTTGGTTTGTGAGAGTTTATGAACTCTCATAAGAGTTCAGTAGAATCTGTATAAAATTTATCCTCTTGTACGTGATAGGACAGAGGTCTTTATATTCCTTTTGAGTAGAACCATGTCACCTAAAATTTAGACAGAAATAGAAAATAGCAGCTATGACTGTATGCATTTCTGGGATTCCTAACACCTTTTATGGTTTTACCATTACATTTTTCTCTTCTAAAATATTTTAATTTCTGCGGCCGAAGTTTGGAATATTGCCCCTTGCTTCCCAAGAAAAGAAAGTGGAAATACTCTGCAGAAGACAACTATGAAGAAGAAATTCAGTTAAAAACATTTAAAGTATGGCTAGGGAAACGAGATCTTTCTTCCTTCATGGTCATGTTTTTTATGGTAGGTGCTATTTCTAAAACACATGTTGATGACAGGCATACGTCTGCATTTGATTTTATCATCCTAAATGTGTCTTTATTGCTACATAAATGCAAATGCCCTGCTCAGTCTTTTAAGTAACAATGAGGTCTGCAAAAGCTCTCCTCTAACTTGAAGGACTGTTTGCTGTCAGTAGTGCTTCTGATTCTCTACCTTTGCTCCCTGCTTGTGGTGCTTTAGGTGTTGTATCAGACATTAGAATGGAGTTGAAGAAATTGGATTATTTTTGATAATGTTTGATAGTTGGATTTTTAATCTCCTGTTGAGCACTGACCCGTCTTGAAGATCTGAAGATCTCACATATGTGAAAGGGGGCATAGGGAGCCAGAAAGCTAAAGGTTATAAAAAGTACCAGACAGCCCATTACAGTTAGGCATAATAATACTGAAATTCAGAATACTTCAGCAGTTCATTATATAAATTATTCTTTCATTCGTGACAGCAAAGAATGTAACTGAAAGTCAAAAGGAAAGGAGGAAAGAAGTTTTGATCAGATATTTGAAGGCAAATGAAAAGTTGATCAGTCAGAACAGCACAAGAAGCCCCTTTCAGATGGCATTTTCTTGTTAGGAGAGGGCTCTTACACCGACAATGGTGAGACTGTGAGCAGAGCCAGAGTAGCCGGTCCTGGATGCCAAGAAGGAACAGACAGAGGATATAGGAAACGAGAAGCATTTCTAAATACTTAGCAGAGAACATTTCTATAAAAGAACATGTTCTTGTAAACACAGGATTCATTCTTCCATAGCAGTTTTTTCTTCCTGCAGAGACATCTTACTCCTTTGTATGAGGTCACCATAAAAAATGATTGAGTTGTGCAGTTTCACACGCCAGCACCATTTTGCTCTCATGAAAAATGGCAGCCTGCCATCAGCTGCAAAGGTGTAGCAGGTCACTCAGGGGTTTTGACACCAATGACTCCTTTCTGCAAGCTAGGAAATTAATTTTTGCCGTTGAAACCACGACACTTGAGGTTCTCCTCTCAGGAAAATTGTGCCAAGGTGCCAAATAAAAGCACAGCAACTGCTGTACTGCCCTGCCTGAAGCCTTCCCTTGCATCCCTAATAAACATTGCTGGATCAGACAGTTTCCCCTTTATCATGGAGAGCATTCAGAAAAAAAGTATCAGTCCAGACGTTATTGCATGGAGTTCTTAAAACAGTAATTACACACTGAATGCATTTATCTTCCCAGCTTACTCAAAACCATCATTCGCATTCATTTGGTCATTAAATTTAAGGTGTTTCTACATCTTCTGTGAGTTCTTCAGAGTGTGATGAGAAGCTTTTCAACACACTACTTGCATCCTTTCACATGTAAGGCAGAGGGCATAGACCATATTAACCATTATCTTTGTTATAATTCACAAATTGCAGTGTTGTAGTATTTTTTATATCATCCATTGTGCTGCTAGATCCATGATGGTCAAGAATACAAATGTGCCTCTTTCTAGTATGGCTTTCTCACAAGGAATACTTACACTTAGTATAGGGTAATAAACAGTCCATGATGTTGCATTTAGACCTGATGGCTAACACTGAAATTCTTCAGTCCATAACATTTGAGGGATCCAGAAGTGGGATTGGAGGTGCTCTCATCATCCTTGATGGGTGTCTTGATTTTGGTTTTGAAGTGCTCTGTGAAATTCCTCTTTGCTCCCTTAAGGGATTTCCTAGAAAATGGAGTATCTTTCTTTTTCAGTGTGTTTCAAGAAGAATCATAGTTTTGCATTCACCTACCTATACCCTTCCACTTGTTTGTTTGTTTTTCCTCTAAAATGTCTTCAGTTAAAGCCCAGAATTTGGCTTGTCCACTGATGATACTGTCAGTTTTCCATTAAAGACATGCAAGATAATATAGACATGGTATTTAATTTAAATTAAATAAGTACTTCGTAGGTGATACTGAAAAGTAATACAAAAATTGCAGAGACTCTAAAACATTTGTTAGCAGTGCATTTTAGTGCAGACAATAATGGCATACATTTGGAGAAAGTACACTTCCCTGTTCAGTTACAAACATTTTTACTAGTGCTTTGAAAACCATAATTTGGTATTGGTAAAATCTCACAGTTTGAGAAATACTTTCCTAAATGACTTCACAAGGAATTCACTTTTTTCATGATAATTGTTTATTTGATGGGGAGTGCTTGCTGCACCCACTTCACAGAATGAGCGCTGAGATGTTCACGCTTTTGCTTACCTATGTTTAGATTGCTGCATGCAGGATGGTTTGGGTCTGTCTCGCCTTCACCTTGGACAGTTGTATTCCCTGTGGAAGTAAATGTCAAACTCTCCCTTTCTAACACACTTTCTGTGTAGGTTTTACTGATAGAAATTACTCTAATGAAGTAAATTGGCACATAGTGACATAACCAGGAACAGTCTTTATATAAGTATCTTTATTATTATTATTTTATAAAGCCTCATATCTTTCAAGACCTCTAGTCTGCTTCTAATAACTCAGTCAACAAATTCTGTGTTCTGCAATATAGCTTGGGTTTTTACTGTCAGTTACAGTGTAGAGTCCTGCATCTGGGCAGGAACAACCCCAGGTTCCAGTATAGGTTGGGAAACGACCTGTTAGAGAGCAGTGTAGGGGAGAGGGACCTGGGGGTCCTAGTGGATGACAGGATGACCATGAGCCAACACTGTGCCCTTGTGGCCAAGAAGGCCAATGGCATCCTGGGGTGTATTAGAAGGGGTGTGGTTAGTAGGTCGAGAGAGGTCCTCCTTCCCCTCTACTCTGCCCTGGTGAGACTGCATCTGGAATACTGTGTCCAGTTCTGGGCCCCCCAGTTCAAGAAGGACAGGGAGCTGCTGGAGAGAGTCCAGCGCAGGGCAACTAAGATGATTAAGGGAGTGGAGCATCTCCCTTATGAGGAAAGACTGAGGGAGCTGGGTCTCTATAGTTTGGAGAAGAGGAGACTGAGGGGTGACCTTATAAGT